TGTATTAGATATTGAGCATATTAAAACAAGCTGTATAATCAGGTCAGATAAAGTGGATAGAAAAGTAAGACACTACACATCTTTCTACCAAGGTGGGGCTGGAGTTAAAAATATCTCTTTTTGCTTGCACAGTTCAGGCTTTCATCGCTTTATAGGAATCGCCTCTGCAATCTGGAGCAACCGAGTGTGTTGCTTAATGACGACAATTAAGTTCGCTTGATTCCCAGTCTCTAGCACGTGACGAGCGATCGATGACGCTGGTGTGCGGTGTTAGGTTGACCTTTGACCTTGACCATTCGGATGTGATTCGTTCACTAGTTTGTTAACTCACACAGGGCTGTGTTCGGCTACTCTTTGTCTAAGCTGCCGCTCGGTTCTACCCAGATAGGTGGCCGAGCACCCGCAGACGAATTGGTACAATTGGTGGGATTTGACATACTGCGGAAGCGGTTGATTGACTGGAGGAGCCGGTATTCTGTTGCATGTGTAGGCGAAAACTGGTTCGGCTGTGTTGAATGTTTGTTTGATGGACTAGCTTAGGCGGTGCTCCAACAACTTAATCACATCATCACTACCGTTGTCATTTTCGGAATGCTTCCAACCAAATCATAACCCTAAAGCCTAGTGCTGAGATTAGCTAGGTGTGATGCTCGCAAAAAGCTCTCATCTATACGTTGTGCTCTGCAGAGATAAAATGAAAGAACAGTATCTAATCAGCTACCCGATAGTTCGGTGGGCAGTATGGTTACGTTCCCACCCGTGAGGTCTCGGGTTCGCGATCCTCGGTTGGGTCGATGAATTCACACTGCTGATGAGATCCAACCAGGTGGGCACAGCATCCTAGCTTCCAATCTGCCCTTTATTTGTTCTGTACACAAAACAATTGACCATATATCGAATGTGGTGCCACTAAACTTCATCAGCTCGAAAGGAGGACAGACAGATAGAATGTAGACTACGAGCGGAATGCGTTCGTGGACAAAATGAAATCTCGTGTTCCATACCTGTTAGTCTCTAGAACAAGAGACACAGGAATGATTGCTTTTGTCTGCTGATCCATCTGACTTCCTTTGTTTGATTCGAATTTAACAGACTCCAATGGGACGATTCGGTCCAGTTCAGTATCTGGTTCTGTTCACTTGTGTCCTGTGTTGTCTTGTACAACCACATGTATCCGGTTTACAACACTATCTGGCCGGAGTGCGAAGTTATCGAAACTATGTGGTCGATCGGAATACCGGATTTTTGCGTCGTATTGCTCCAGTCCTAATGACAGTCGAGGTCACCGAGCCACCGCCAACAGTTGCCGAGAACCAGACTAGTGATCGCACATTGCTCGAAGCGATCCCATACAGTCTGGACCAGTTGATGCGGGCCTATGCGCACGCATTGTTGGATCGTTCGTGGAACATACATGAGATTGCCCCGGTCGTGCATTTGGACATGCTGTGGATCGGGGAGACCAGTCGTCCGATCAGTTTGCCCTGTTGGGCCCCGGCACAACCGATTCCAATCCGACTCGATCAGACCACATTTCGTAGTCATCGACGAACGTGGTACATTGGTCAGGGCAATACCCTGTCGTTGAGGTAAATCCCATCACAGTTGGACAATCGCACGATTACGACACATTGCTCACTTCTTTTGTTTGCTTTTTCTAATGATGCTGGATATTTTTGGAAATATGATCCACTAATGATCGAATTGGTGAATTGTTAAATGTATTAATGATAACTCTCACTACAACAATATTCACTTGCATATTCGTTTGATGTCTATCTATTTATGTATACCGTGTACTTCACACACGTCTGAGGTCAAACTGTGTGCCAAACGAATCACGGTACAATAATCCTCATAAAAAGAGAAACGCTATATGATTTACTTGCAGGCGGAATACTTCCAGGTTGTCCAGGACAAGCTAAGTGAATTTTCTTGAGGAATATACAACCGGAGCCTCTGGCTAGCCAAAGCCTAACCCGCAAGGCAGCGAGGTAATGTGCAAAAACCGCAATCCATTGGGGTCGGTTTCCAGTTTATCGGATCATACGCCCTTTGGACGGGGTTAAACGTCCAAGGTGCTCAATACACCTTAATGCCCAATTGAGCCGTTGACCGCTGCCATAACCAGGAAGATGTGGGTGGTTGTAGTTCGTACACCTCTTCGTGATTGGTTTGGAATCAGGGATTTTAGCCAAATCCCCTAGGTGAACTACCAGTGGTTCAGCAACCTGGTCATAGCCCCGGATGTTGGCTTCTCATCCTCTTACTTTGGTGAAGGCATTCCTGCGCCAGTCATCGGACATTCTTCCTAACTACTCGTCACAAAATGTTTGTAACGTGGAACCATTCTCATATTGTGATTTGTTAAAACTTTTAAATAGTTGCCATTAGTCATCTGCTGCAGGCCTGGATGACTTACATCCAGCCGTCTTCAAACTTTGTGCTGCTTCCCTAGCTGGGGTTATTACTTTCATTGTAAATGACTCTCTCAACACTTCCACTCTCCCCGACTGTTAGAGGCCGGTCGCAATCATACCAGTCCCCAAAGCATTCAAATCGTCTGTCCTCTCCGAACATTTTCGTCCCATAGCATTAACATCTTCAGCTCTTAAATTGACTGAAAAGGTCATCCTCAAACGCCTTCAGCAGTCTATAAACATTCCCGGTGATCCGTTACAGATTGCTTACAAGCCTAATAGATCCACCCTGGACGCAGTCTCCACCCTCATTCATTTTATCATTGAGTCTTTGAACAATTCTTTCAAGTCTGTTCGGTGTTTTTTTTTCTGGACTACTCTCCTGCATTCCTTCCATTCCTCGATCTAAGCTGTTACAGGTGACGAAAGCTGACCATAGGCCCTAACCCGACCTCTCACTTCGCTTGGTGCAGCCCGCCTTCCACAGTGGGACCCAAGGGATGAGGATTGTCGTTGGTTAGAGACGATGAGAGATATGGCCCAGAATAGAAGTCATTGGCGCGAATGCTGTACAGTTTGCTTGTTGAAATCCCGTTCCCCATAAGAAAAAAAGACAAACTAACATAAAGAACTCTCAAAAAGTGTACGGTGAAACACAAAGATTGTCATTCCATTTATTTGCTATTTCTCATTTTAACAGTTCCATCTTTTTCCTATGTTCTCTATCCCAACCTCCCCTTCTGTATGGTTATAGTTATTATTGTCTTGGCGTTGGCACCATGCTTGTCCGCAAACCGATGTTATATATATATATTTTATATATATATATATTACAAAAACTGGAATAGCAATCTTGCTTGGTTAGCCCGCATTCACAACTAAAATGGTAAACTGCAGCACCTTTCTTTCCAAATACGAAAGCTGAGGCAGTTTCGCGTGTACCAGGCAGTAATTTCTACCTTTTTTGTTTGTGTTTTCCCCATCTTACTCTACTTTTCCCCGATTATTTTTCCTGGTTTACTCAAGCAGGATTTCAAAGTCTTACGCCGCGGTCTAACTATTATTAGTCGTGTCTCTTCCATTCCTGTGAATGAATTAGCTGTAAAGCTTTCAGAGTATCACGTAACTCCCTGTGTGAAATTTGCTGAGAGGATTCTCACCGATCCTGACCACCCATTGCACGCAGACCTTACAAGTTGTCGTTCCCATCAATCAACGCGCTCCCCATTCCGTCAAGTTTCATCTCGGATGATGCATACCGCAATTCTTCTATACCGTATCTTGCTCGTCTACTCATAAACAAGGAGCGGACAAGAAGTGAACTTTTTCTTAACCTTGGATTATGAAATGTCCCCATATCTGCAAAAATTTTCTCACAGTTTATTACGTACACTGTGACGGTTAGCGTGAATGATTTTTTTAACTGAACTGTGAGCTCCAGTGCTTGCAAAAGTCATACACAATACAATACAATATGAGTAGGGCCTCCTCAGCAGAGGCTATTTGAGACGCTTGGTCGTACGGGAGCATTTAATGAGATGCAAGGGAAGGGTGACCAGCCATATCCCAAGACACTACAGTATCGCGAGAAAGTCGACTTGTTGCGAATAAAAACACTGAGAAAAACGTAAATGCTAAAAGCTACGTTAATGTGACTGACTTGTACTTGTATTAAGTTTGTGTTTGGTATGAGTGTTGTAATCATGTAGGCTCACAGTTCAGCAAACCGGTTGTAGAACACGAGATACACTCTCGAAAGAACTGTGCACCAAGACTTGATCACAGTGCATTGGCAACTCTCCGCTTGTTTGTCAAATTACGTATCATATACGGAACACGTGGGTTCGGAATTAGACTACGGCGGGACGGACTATGCTGAGAAGTAGAACGGTTGGATACAGAAACAGATCATTCTGCAAAGGATGTTAAAACTCATAAATAATTCTATGGGCAAACTGGAGATAATCGTTGATCAGTGAATTTTCTGGTCAAAGCACCCCAGTGAAATAAGAGAAATGTGTATCTGATAATTGCTAGAACTCGGGATGAAACTCTGATCGTTTTTAAGAGACCGAGGAATATAATAACAGTAGGAGAACAGTGAAATATGATAGAAAGAAAACATCCCAGTTTTCCATCAAGAGTCTAAATTATACGGTACATCAGGAATTCTCGTACATCAAATAGTCTGTTCCACGAGTGCCGACAATCAGTAGTTACAATTTATAGATTATTAGCTTAGATTTTTGCTCCGTTTGAACCCAACTCTGGTGCACAGACACAAACACACACAGTTTCATTGAAGATTCTCGTAGTACCATTTGAGAAAACAAAACACAAAATAGCGACCAAGCTTGTTTTGGATAACTTATTCATCTGGCTAATACAGGTATAGAAATAGGTGACAAGCATAGCACATTTGCATAACGTGTGTGCATTGGGCTAGTAGATGGTGGTGGTGGTGGCACAGTGGTTTAGTCGCGGTCACCGGCGTGCTTAGGTTCGAGCCCCGCCACCGCCCCCTGACTTTGGTGGTCAGCAGCTCTGGTGTTGTCCGGTTCGATACCACTTCTAACCTATCGGGGTCTTATGTGGTTCGCCAGTCCAAGTCCAGATGATTAGGTTGCCGGTTTCTATCACTGAACAGCAGGTCCTCGTGACTATGGGGTTCGCCCCGTCTGCTCTCTATTACACTAAGGTGTGCAATAAAAAAGGTATAATTAGTTGTTTATATGTGGTTTACAAACAAAAATAGAGTGTTTGATGGATAGGGATGTGTCACAAGAGGGATTAGGACCGAGTCAGGGTTAACCATCACCGGTTTCGGGTACGGGGTCAATCGCAAGGGTCAACGGGTCATGGAAAGAGTCAGTTCCAGTCATGCGACCGAATTCACTATGTGGCCATGGCAGTTGAAGTGCTTTAACGAATAGCTTTAGGGAACAAACCGATGGGTTAAACAGACGAGGGGCTACTGCCTCAGCTTTTTCTAAATGTTGTTTCCCTCGGGTCCCTGCACGCGCATGGGCGTCTATGATGCGTTGACCACGACTTAGATAGCGGTGAATTATTCTGGTCAATGCCTTGTTGATGTGACTAACACAACCGATCAATACTGTGTGTGGTTACCGCCATGAAGAAGTCGACGCTAATGATCAGTAATTTTTCACCTCTGAGACTGAGAAATCGACTTGGGCCATTGTAAATCACTTCTAAATTTATTTTCTCATGCGTTTTATGCCATTGGACCTACTGCTCTCCCATTGTCTTCCCCGGTCTGTCTGTCTAAGGATTTCGTATTAGTTAGACGCTCTATGAAAAGCATACCTATAGATATGGATCTGTATCTTATGAGGTGCTGGTTGACTCCATTGTCAACCAACACCTAAGGGCGTGTGATGGTCTGTGTGACTCTATCTTGTCCTCTCTCGCTCCATTTCCACTTCTGTCACCCGCAATAAATTTAGGCCATTAAATACTCATACCCTTGCTTTTCATAACTCCGATGTACCCTACACTGATTGAATGGATGCAATTATATATACATCGATCGCATATATAAAGTCATAAACAACCCCAACGTGTCCGAACTGTATGAGCTTGTCCNTCCCGGGGGGGGGGGGGGTTCCTGATGACGTGAATCTCGAACAGGAAGACTGGCTATCAGTGGAGTAACTACTAGAAGCCTAAACTAAAGCGATCTTGACGAAATCAGGGCGTAAAGCAAGCTGAATTGACGAGACACTGTTGAGAGAGAGAGGGAAGTTGTGATGATTGGGTAGGGAACTCGGGATAACAGTAAACACGCACCGGAATACAGCTAGCAAACAGTCAATTAGAAGACAGAGATTCCGGTCGGTCTGGTGGGTCCAAAAGCATGCTAATCGGATTGGTTGAATGCTGGGAAGCAAACGAATGGATCATAGCAACACACAGACAGAGAGAGAAGAATAGACCTATATATATATATATATATATATATATATA